GCACGAGCAGAGGAGGTATATTCATCTTTGGTGATCTCTCCCTGTTTCCACTTTTTATGTGCTCCCCTTTTGTCCCTTAGGCTGCCCTGGATTTCTCTGGTCAGCCAAGGAAGCCTCCTGGCCCCTTTCCCCCTTTTGCCTCGCATCGGGATCGTCTTGCTTTGTGCCCGAAGGATCATTTCCTTAAGGCACAGCCACCCTTCCTGGGCTCCCATCACTTCAAAACTCCTACTTTGCAGTGCGTCCTTGACTAATCGCCTGAGTTAATTGAAATCAGCTTTCCTAAAGTCCAGCACTTTCACCCTACTAGTTACCTTACCCACTCGATGTCTTATGGTGAATTCTATTATTAGGTGATCACTGTCCCCCAGATGGCTACCGATCTGTAGGTCCCCAACCATGTCATCCCCCGTTGCCAGTACCAGTCCAGTAAGGCATTCCCCCTAGTGGGACCGTGGCGGCCGCCGTGCCCCTGCTTCACCTGTGGCGAGTTGGGGCGTGATGCCTGGTGCTGTGCCGGGGCCAACATTGTCTGGTACAGAGCTTAGCTCCTGGATTGTACCGGATGGTTTGGACAGGGCTAATCCTGCCTCAGGCCCAGGGGTCAGACATGGGGAGCTGCGGGCCCCTTTCAGCCTGAGGTCTCTAGGATTCAATGAAAAGCCAACAGGCCTTCGTTGGAAGGAGTTCAGCACCATCGGCAGGGCTGTGGGATAGCAGAGAAAAGACTAGCGTGATGGGTGGCACATCACGGCCGTTCAAATGCAGAAAGGGTCGTTAACACGGGTGGGATGCAGAGTAGAGAAGGGATCGGGGAGAGGACGTGTGCACCCCCCTGGATCCGCCCTGCCCGCAGCCTGGGGTAGGGCTCGGGGCCCCTGGCCCAGCAGGCTCCCCCAGCGGGGGCTGCTCCTTGGCTCTGTGCAGGGCCCAAAGCCAGCTGCCGTGGGGCAGGTTGTGCCCTATGGATGCTGCAGGACTGAGAGCCATCCTCTTGGGTGCTGGCATGCTCCGAGGGCTGGCAGGGCTGTGGTAGGGGGTCAGGGAATGGGCTACCACAGTGTCCCACTCCTGTCTGCAGCACCTCCGGCCCCAGCTCCCCCATTTCTGGCACAAGGCCCAGGGGAGATGCCAGTTGGTCACCCCAAGAGCTGAGGGGGGTTGGCCTTGGTATAGGATGGCCATGGGCACGTGCCGTGGCAGGGATGGGCTGATGTGCCCCCATGGCTAGCAATGGGCACTGGGGACCTCACTGCTTTTCCTGCCTCAGGTCTGGACGAGAGGCTGCAGCAGTATCCCTGGGAGGCATGGACCCTGACTGGGCAGGACTTGCTGTGCCTGTCCCACCGCAACCTGGAGAGCCTGGGCGTGCAGTGCATGGGCCACCAGGAGCTGCTGCTGGAGGCCGTGGAGCAGCTCTGTGCGCTGGTGAGTGCATGGCGGGAGGTGGAGCTGGAGCCAGGCCCCTTCCCCGAGCCTGTGCACAGAGCAGCGGGAGCTGGGAAGCCCCCCTGGCACCTGCCCTGTGTGCTTGCCCCTGGGGCTGCGAGAGCACTGGGGCTTGGGGACGGATGGCACAGGCGCTGGGTGGGTGTTGGCTGCAGCCAATGCTCCTGCTGGGACCAAAGCTGGAGGGTCCTGGCCACTGGGTCTTGGCAGGGTCAGATCGACACCACGTTTGGGGTCCGGAAGGAATTTCCCCCCTGGTCAGACTAGTTTGGACTGGGGTAGGGTTGTTTTCCTCTGCAGTGGGGGCACGGCCTCCACCTGGGGTCTCCCGAGCATGTGTTAACACCTTTGCAGCAGCAGGACATTGGCCATCGCGGTGCCCTGCTTTGCCCGTGGCAGGGTCGGGTGCGATGCCTGGAGCTGTCAGGGCTGACGGTAGTTTTGCGGAGAGGTTAGATGGGTTTGTCTGGGATGTTTTGGAGAGGGAAGATCCCGCTTCAGGCAGGGGTTGAACTGGATGTCACCTCCGGAGCAACCTCCCAGCCCACATCTCTATGAAACGGGAAGGACTGCCCCGGGGGCAACAGGGGCTGGACAGTGGCTCCCCCGAGAGTTACCCTGCATGGTGCGGTCTCTGCAGCTCCCAGCCCAGGCAGGGGCGGCTCCGACCTTCCCCCCCCTGAGACCCTCGGGGTTGTCCCTCTTTTTCCACCCCCGCTCCAGTACTACGAGCTGGAGACCACCAACCTGCGAACACTGACAATGAAGCTGCGGCGGGTGGCTCGGACCATCCAGGCCCTCGTCCTGAGCAGCCAGAGGGTGACCGCCTATGCTGGGGACGCGGCCGAGCCCCCCTGTCTGGACCTCCTGACCAGCGTGGTGGAGCTGGTCGGCGCAGCTAAGGGGCTCTTCTCGTGGCTCAACAGGTACCGACCAGCTCCCCCCGTTGTGGGGGGAGGCCTGGGCCAGGCGAGGGAGGGTCTGTGTGCTGAGAGCGGCTGGGGGCCAAGCTGTGGGCACCCCTGTGAGGAGAAGGAAGGGTGGGGAACGTGGCATGGGCTGTGCCCCATTTCCCCCCAACCTTGCCGGTGTTGTCTCGCCATGCCCTCTGTTTTTGGGGCACCGTGCCTGCTAGCTCAGGCCTGATGTAGCCGCGTGGGGGATTTCTTGCAGCCTTGAGGGCTCCGTGCCCAGAATGCATGGGCCAGGGCAGGCCCGGTGCCCCCTGGCCAGGCACTTCAGCCTTGCCCTGGAGGGCTGGGGTGCCACGGCTGCGGCTGCTGCACACGGCGCTGTGGGATCCCAGGTTGGCCTGGCACTCCCAGCGTGCTTCAGACGGGTCCTGCTCACTCCTCCCCTCGCAGGTACCTCTTCACCCACCTGCACGACTATTCCTCCAGCCGGGACATCATCCCCCTCTGCGCGGAGCTGGCCGAGGCCGTTCGAAAGGTGAGGGCGCGGGGCTGACAGTGCACCCAAGCTGGCAGGAGTTCCCCAGCTGAGAGTCCCTGATCTGGACCTCCCCCAGAGCAGCCCGTGGGGTATCTGGAGACACCCGTGATGGGTCTGGGTCACAGTCCCATGGCACAGACTTCCCAGGAAGCATTTACAAGCTTACCCTGGAGCAGAGCCCGGTGTCCCGACCCCTTGGTCTTGGGAATGGCTTTGGCTTCCAGCGAGGTGGTGATGCTGGCGAGGAGCCCAGAGGAGTGGGGGACAGCCAGGAGGAAGGGGCTGGGGACTGGGCCGTAGTCAACCGAGGGAAGGGAAGGGACTGGAGAACTGCAGAGGAGGGAAGCCGGATGCGGGAGATAAACAGGCGGAAAGAGGGGCGGGCGGGTGGGGAGAGAAGCCGTGGTTCTTTAAATAACCTTGTGAATCATGCTCTGGGATCGGGCTTGGGGCTGGGGCAGCTCGGCTTTCAGTGAGGCAGGAGCGCGCCCAGCCGAGGCCCGCGGAGCGAAGGAGGCTCCGGTACCCCGGGCGTCCAAGGGGGCAGGAGGCTTCGCGGAGGTTCGGGAAGCCCAGGAGGGGAGGGAGCGAGCAGTCTGGCGGGAGCTGCAGACTGAGGACTCTGGGGAGGCATCTGTGGCTTGGGAAAGGGGCCTGGAGGGAGCAGGTCTGGACCCACCGGTCACCTCTGGTGTGTAGCCACGTCCCGTTCAGGCAGTGGAAGGGAAGGCGATCCCCAGGCTGCCCTGGCTTGCTTTTCTCTAGGGGCTGAGTTGTGCCCCTGGGAGGGCTGGGGGAGGATTCCTTCCTCGTCTGGGATCCAGCCCTCGGGGTCACCTTGCGTGGGAGCAGGACTTGCCTGGCACCTTGTACCCGGGCAGACCCACCTGCACAGGGGAAAGCCTTCATCCCAGGGCAGAGCTGGGTGGAGGGAGCTGTGGAGGGTCCTCCCTGAGGAGGCGTGGGCTTTCCCCTTTTTGCTTGAGTCCCTCATCTCCTAGGGCAGAGCTTTCCAAACTTTTCATGTTGGTGACACACTTTTTAGACATGCATCATTTCGCGACACAGTAACGGGGAGGGGCCGAGGGAAGCAGACGCGAGTAAAGGAGCTCCGCGGTGCCCTTCCGCAAAATTTTCTGCATTTCGCGCGACTCGCCTACACACTGCCGCCGACACACTAATGTGTCGCGGCACACAGTTTGGAAAGCTCTGTCCTAGGGAAAGGCAGGGGCTTGCCATTTAGCCCCAGGCCTGATCTGGAGCCCCAGGGAGTCAGGCCTGTGCTGGGAGGAGTTTCTCCGACAGCTCCTCTGCTGCCGGCAGGACCAGGCACGGGCAACCCTGCTGCCTCCAGGGGTAGGGATTTAGGTGCCAGCGGGGCTGTGGGTGAACAGCAGAGATTAGACCACCTGTTGGCACAGCCCAGGGCCAGGAGCCAGCCTGTGCCTGTCTGGCATTGCCTGTGCCCTCGGGGCTGGGGGGCATGGGATTACCCCGTCCTCCCTCCCTCGCACGCTGGCTCCAGGGGAGCATGGGGCTAGTCGGGCACCTGCAGCCGTGGTGTGCGGGAGGATGAGCGAGGTCCCCAGACCTTGAAGGGAGCAGGGATTGGTGCAATGCCGGTCCCTGTCCTGGAGCCGGATCAGGCGGTGGGGTGAGTCCAACTGTAGGTGCAGTGAAATCTTCATTCCCACGAGTGTCTGGAGCCTGCCAGGGTGCTGGGTGTGCCTTACACATGGCAAGTCCCAGCTCTGGTTCCCATGGTGGCGTGCCTGGGGGACTGGGAAGAATTCCCAGTCCAGGAATGACCAGGGAGGCCGGCCCAGTTGGAGATGGCTCCAAGCTGCTGGGCTCTGGGCCAAGGCTCAGTTGGGAAGGAAGCAGTCAGCCTAATTGCTCCTGTCCTTGCAGGACTGCAGAGTGTCCGAGAGAGAGAGCCAGGTTCTGTTGATCGTAAGTACAGCCCCGGGCACGGGGGCCGAGCAGATCTAGGCAGGGGTGAGGGGGTGTCTGATGTCTCTGGGGGCTGCTCCTGCCCGGCTGCAGAAGCTGGGTGACCCTGTCCCGTCGTCCAGTGCAGGCACGTCGTGGGGATCTGCGAGAACATCCTGAGCTGCAGCCCCACGTCTCTCCTGGACCGGACGGCCGTGCTGGAGAGCGTGGAGCTGCAGCCGGCGCTGCCCGACGACAGTCTGGTGAGTCGGCTCCTCCGTCTCTTCCCCCTGAGATCAGAGGCCGCCTCGGCAGCTGGTCTGACGGTCCCAAACCCCGTGCGTGTCCGTCTCCGCAGGGCATCGAGATCAAGTCCACCAGCTCCGGCCTTCACTTCATCTCGGGAACCGCCAGCGAGGTGAGCGAGCAGAAGCAGAGACTCGGGGGTGGAGGCAGCATCGGACCCAGCCTGGCTGGTCCCTCCGTGCAGGGAGCGAGGGTGTAACGCACAGCTAGAGTCGTCCCCCCGCATCCTCCCACCTCGCATGGTCCCAGCTGCGACCTGGCAGGCCGGGTCCCCTGGGCTTATTAGCACCTAATCCCTCTCCCTGAGCCAGAAGGAGAGCACGGCCTGACTGAGACCTTGCTGCAGCCGCAGACGAGATGAGCTGCACGGTGCCCCCCCAGCCCAGCCTGCCCTTCCCTTCCCCCCTGGGCTGCAGCAGGCAGCTCCAGCCGGCCCCTTCCTTCATTCCTCTCCTGCCTGCGATGAGCTGCATTGCCCAAAAGGTCAGGCCAGTGGGTTAATAGTTAATCCCTCTTCCCCTCGAGCTTACGCCAGTGAGAAATCTCCTTAGGCCTGATTAGGCTGCGGTGCAAGTGGCTCTGGATCCCCCTGGCTCTTGAGTCTTGCCCTTGTCTCTCTTCTAGTCTCCAGCCGAGCACTGCAGCCAGATCCTGCCGGGGGATGAGCTAGTGCAAGTGGACGACCAGGTGGTGGTAAGTGCACGCGCCTCCCGGCTGCGTGGGGGCTACCCCGGGTCGGGCAGCCGGGTCTGGGTGGGCGACCGCAGGCGGGTGGTGAATCTGCGTCTGCATCGAAGCAGCCAAGAGTTGGCGCAGGGTGTGGGCGAGGCTAGTGGGTCCGACGGGGGGTTGGGGTCTGTCCAGCCGGGAGGGCTGCTCCGCCTTGGATGGGTGCCATCTCCCTGGTTGGGCTTGTTCTGCGCAAGGCACCTCTGAGTAGGAGATGGGATCAGGCTGCTTCTGGCCCCTGCTCCAGGCCTCGTGAAATAGGGGTCACACCAGCTCCCTCTTCGTAGAGCCCTCCAGGAGCCTGGGGGGAAGGTGCCAAGGGCTGTGACTTCCTCTCTACCCAAGACCTGGGGGGGTCCCATGGGGCAAGGAGCCTGGATCCGCTCTGCTGCCGGGCTCAGTATTACTGGCAGATCTCTGGCTTCTACAGCGGCTGGGGCTGGCTCTCTTCCTGGGTCCTTGGGTGGGGAAATGAACTTCACAAGGTTGCTCCGGAGCCTCTGCGCTCTCTCCCCACCTCTGTCCCCAGCGCAGGCACAGCTTTTATCAGACTAGCTGTGTAGTCGAGAGAGACAAGATGAGCTTTGGGGCACGCAATGCCCTTTCTCAGGCCTGGGAGAGGAGCAGACGGGGCCTGAGCAGAATACCAGGGAGGCCGGTTACTGTTTAACTTCTGCGTAAACGGAAACAGTCCTTTGAAGAAGGGGAAGATGGGTCGAGGGAAAGACGCCACAATGCACATTTTTGGTTCTGGCCTGGGGGTGCGGCTGCAGCTCCATCCCCTTCCTCTTCGGGCACAAGACACAGGCTGCAGCCGGGAGGGAGAGGGAATGGGAGGCTGATTTTTATTATTTTGCAGCTCTTCCCTTGGAGAATGACTATCAGGGACTCAGCTGAGCTCTCCACCTGCTTTACAAACAGTAGATAAGAGCTCCATAAACTACCCAGCGGAGGCAGGATTGGCCTCCCTAGCACAGGGCTCCCGGGCCAGGGGCAATGGCCGGTCCCGGAGCAGGCTGGGGTGTTGCTGTTCCCTGGGGAGAAATGCTGACTCTAGAGCGGGGCGCCAAGTTAAAACAGTGTCGGCCCAGGATGCTGCCTTGCGGGAGCTGCAGCTTGGATGCCTCTGGCTTCCCCTTCTCCTGGCAGCCTACATCTCCCAGGGTGCACCATGGTCTTGGGAGCCATTGCATCTTGGGAGATGTAGTCCAGCCAGGCACCCAGCCCAGGGGAGGAGGATGGGGGCACGGGGCAGCTGCATTACAGCACTGCAGTGGCCTCACTACCTGGTCCTGCTCGGGACAACCCCTGTCTGGTGCCCCCCGTGAAGGAGACGGGGCCACGTCCCGTGGTTCTGATGGCTCTGGATACCCTCGCGCGGCGTGGATCTGTGCCGGGATCCCCATCAGCTGGTTGACTTGGGTGTACAGGATGAGCAATGACTCATGGTCCAGAGTCACCCGGGTCCCGGGGTGGTCTCGCTCCAGAGCCATCTGGGTCTGGTGAGGCCACTGTCCTGACCGGCTGGCCCACCTGGGCATCCAAAATTATCTCTGGATGCCCCTGCGAGGGGCTGGAACGGAGCAGGATGACTGGGACCTCCTGTTGCAAGCAGCTGGCCGAGAAGCTGGTGTGGGAGCGGACCTTGTGCAGGCAACTGGCCCTGACCCGCTAACTCCCATGCAGGTGGGCTGGACCCGGGTGAATCTGGCTAAGAAACTCCTCGAAAAGCCGAGCCAGGTGACTTTGGTGCTGAAGAGGATCCCCCTTAGCTTCCTGGGGTCCCCCAGGTCTCCTCCATACCAGGTGAGTGGGGCCAGAAGCCCCCGCATCCACAGCCAGAGAACCCAGGTTTCAGTCACTGGGCCACGTTGGCAGTGACTGGCCCGGCCCGGCCCAGCCCAGCCCAGCCCAGCCGGGTGCTGTGACGCTATGAAGCACCTGGAGGTTTGCAGCTGGTTTGATGCTCAGATGCTGCCGGGTCAATGCTGCAAGAGCCCTAGCGAGGCACCAGCACCACTGGGGCGGGGGGGTCGTGGCAATGCAGCACGTGGCAGGGAGCTCACTCACCACTGGCTCTTTGCAGGCCCTGGAAAGCTTCTCCGACGCGGCAGACTCTTGGGGCTCCAAAAGCAATGACTCCCCCGGCACCCCGGTCTGCCTGCCCTGCAGGTAAGAGCCTAGAACTGGTGTCTGAAAGGGCGTCATGCTGCTGGCTCCAGGGCATCGAGCACGCGAGGACGAGTTTGCGTCTAGCAGCGGGTTCTGCCGTCTTTGCGTGTTCTCCTGCCCCCTGGGAAGCTACAGAGCTTGGAGCCTAACAGGTGCTAGAGGCGTATTGTGCTGATGCCTCCCCTGGCCCCACTCGGCCGATGGGTGGTCGGCCCCCTTTGCGCTGTTGACCAGAGCGCCCCAGGGAGTAACTAGGAATAATGGGTGCAAACTAGTGGAGAGTAGATTTAGGTTAGACATTAGGAAGACATTTTTCACAGTAAGGGTGGCCAGGATCTGGAATGGGCTCCCAAGAGAGGTGGTGCTATCACCTAATTTGGAGGTCTTCAAGAGGAGGCTTGATAGTCACCCGGCTGGGGTCATCTGACCTCAGTTCTTTCCTGCCAGGGGCAGGGGGTCAGACACAATGACCCTTTGTGATCCCTTCTGACTCTATCATCTATGAATCTATGGAAACCCTTATTGTGGCAGTGCCCCCGGGTCCTGGGCTCACTGGCAAGGAGCAGCCCCACACGTTCCTCAGGTTCCTGCCACGTGGCCCGGCTTTATGTGGACCTTCCTGTTTCTTTGGCACTGTTCCCTTTGCGACCAGGGGACGCTCCGTGTGTGGGATGCTTCTGCAGAACCCGCCGTGGTCTGCGGGGCAGAGGCAGGAGTTCCTGCGGAGTCACTTAGCATCCCAGCAAGCAAGTGCCTGAGCTCGATGGCCAGCTCCCCCTCGCATCCCTGCAGCCAGGGCTGGTGGGGCGGCGCGATCCTGGTTAATAGCAAACGCACCGAGGGGCAGCTGTGCCTGGTGAGAGCTGTTCAAAGGCTCCTTCTCTCCTCAAGCGTGACGGCCGACCAGGAGCCGGGGCCAGACTCTGCGCCGGGAACCACTGCTGACGACGAGGAAGGGCTGGCCCTGCCCCACCCGGAAGAGGACGCAGGGGACCTTGTCGGGGGCCCAGGTGAGGAAGGTAGGAACAAGGTGCCGCTCCGGGCTGGATCAAAGGCTTCCCCTGTTGGGGTTCACCACCTGCAGTACCCTGCACGCGGCAACGGGGCAACTGGTGGGCAGAGCCCGCGGCCGACTCGGCTCGTCCCTGCCGGGCCTGTGTTGTGCCGCTGACGTAGGTAGCGACGGGGCCGGTGGGAGCTGCACCCGGGATGGGGATGGGGATGCTGCTTCTGTCTGACTCAGCTGGTGCGACTTACCGCACCGTGGGGCACTTGGCAAGGCCCCCCAAGCTCCAGGCTCCATTTCGTGCCTGTCTTGCAAAGCTGGAGCTGGCCCAGGGGCTCTGGGAAGACCCTATGCTGTGTGGGACGAGGGGCATGGCCCACGGGTGTCCCCCGTGGTGGGGTCCTAATGGGAAAGGAGGGTGGGGACACGTGCTCAGATTGGAGCAATTCAGCATGGCTGCTGTTCTCCACCTCTGGCGCTCCGGCCTGGAGCCCTGGGGTCAATGGCATGTGCTTTATAGTGCAGGCTCTGGTGCCATGCCAGCTTCCCCGAGCAGGTAACCTGGCCCATTGCCCCAGCGCGATGTCCCAGGAGCTGCCTGGCTCTATCTTGACGGCTTGGTCTTTGCAGGAACATCTGTGGCAGAGAGCACAGCTGTGGGGACGGACCTGGAGGGTCCCCTCTCCCCAGCCAGACCCAGCACTTTGGCCCTGGACCTGGGGCCACCTGGATCCCCAGGGAACAGAAGTGGAGGCAGGAGTCCGGGCCTCGAACCCTCTGACAAGCCAAGCCAGGTGAGAGCGGAGAGGCTCTTGGTTTCTTTGGAGAGAGAAGGCCAAAGGAGCGTGCAGGGGGACCCTGTCCTCAGGTCTGCTGAGGGGCTGAGATGCTGGGCCTGAGCTGCCAAAGGCCTTGGGGCCGGGAGCAGTGTGCGGACAGGTGGAGAAGTGGAGCCTCTGGTCCCAGCTCTGAGACCAAGCAGCTCCACTAAGAAATACAAGCCTGTCCATGCAGTGGCTGGTGTCTCTGAGGGAGATGTCGGGAAAGGGGGGCTATGCGAGAGGCATCTAACCGGTGGAACTCACCGCTGCAGGGCGACTGAGGCAGGCTGGAACAGGAGTCCTGTCCCGTCGCTTTGGGGTGGGTTTCCAGATACTCTTGAGCAAGAGGCCAGTGCTGGGGAGAGCCCTGCTGCCCCCCTGCCCGGGTCTACGGCACAGATACCTTGAAGGTGCCTTTCATGGCCAGGGTGCATCTACCCACATGTCCCCTCTGTCCCCCGCAGGGCAGCCCGGAGGGTCGCCGCAAGCAGAAAGGTGAGTGGCGCCGTCCTCCCCTCGGGGGCTGGAGGGGAGATACCTTCCCAGGCTCCAGCGTGACCAGGAGACTGGGCTTCTCCCCCCTGCCTGCCACGCTGAGCTGTGTCCTGGGGCCTGCCTGGGTCTGAGCTACGTGGCCAGGAGCAGGGAAAGGGAGGGCAAGGGCTGGGATTCCCCAGTGCCCTGTCTGGCTGGAAGACCCCGCTCAGAGTACCGCAGCTCTTTCCCCTTCTTCCAGCTCGGGGCTCCCATCTGGGACAGTCTGGGAGTGGGTCTTGAAATGGGGGCCACGTCCCTGCAGGGACTAGGCTGAGGACTAGCAAACTGATTACCTTTTCCTGTTGCACGTGACTGGAGCATTGATGGCAGGGTGGTCACACAAGCCCCATCCCATCCCCCCGCCCCTCCCCAAATGATGACCTTCCTACATAGCCGCTGAGCCAGGGGACGGGGGCACAGCTGACCAGGTAGCCCCATCCTAGACGCTCCCCTCTCCCTCCCGTGCGCAGGAGTGGCGACCAGGCTGAGCCGCCGGCGGGTCTCGTGCCGGGACCTGGGCCGGGTGGACTGTGACGGCTGGCTCCTGAAGAAGAAGGACCACGCAGGCTTCATGGCCCAGAAGTGGAAGCGGTGCTGGTTCGTGCTCAAGGGCCATGCACTCTACTGGTACAACCACCCCCAGGTGAGTCGGGGTTGGGGAGGGAGGCAGGGGCACGGAGAGATGAGTTACAGCTCCCTGTGCCCTGACCTCATGGGATGCCTGGACCCGCAGGCAGCTTGGGAGGCATCTATGTTCCTGGCTGCAGTCCTCCCCCCTGGCAGTCCCACTTGGGCCATAGACACAAGTGACTTGGTGGCACATGCTCAGAGGTGACACAGAGAGAGCAGGGAGCAAATATAACAGGCTTGGGAAGAGGTGCATATTGCAGCAGCCTTGACAAGCAATTCTTGCCCCCTACGTCCTGTTCCTCTGGCTCCACCGCCCCCATCTTGAGGACGCTATGACAGTCCTTGAACACTTGAATCTTTGATGGCCCGTGGCCGTGGAGATCCATGCAGCGTCCCACAGCTCAACAGATCTTGCTTCTTCCTGCAAACGACAGCGGGCAAAGCCGTGCCTGATGCATCTGTTGTATCCTCCTCACAGGACGAGAAAGCTGCGGGCCTGATCAATGTGGCCACTTACAACTTGGAAAGCACGAGGGAGCTGAAAAAAAAATAGTGAGTTGGGGAGATGGGGGGCAAGAGGCCTGGTTTGCTGGGGACAAACCTCCACCTGGCAAGGAGCGTGGGTGGCACCTCTCAGTCGCTGGCACTGGTGACATGGCTGCAGTTTGTGCCAAGCTATAGCAGAAGCCCCACTCCTGGATATACTCCAAGCCCAGTTTCTCCAGCAGGAGCTAAGCATGGGTGGACCCAGGGTGTTGAAAAGGGAGGTGCACGTGGTGAGGTGCACCCTCCCCATATACAGCAACACGTATTTTTCTTCAGATAGAAAGAAACTAGAAGCTTCACTAATATACCAGGGCCCCTGGGCTCCACTATTGAGTTTAAGATCGGAACAAAAACAAGTATAACTTTATTGGAACGAGGGTAAAAGCAGCCGGCGGGTCTGTGAAATAGGAGCTCTGTGACCAGGATCAGCTCACAGACAGCAGAACGGCAGAAGAAAGGGCAGCTCGATTCGTGGAATATCAGTGCTATTACGAAGCAGAGGGGGTCCTTAACGCCTGCGGGATGAAGAGTTTAGAAGGAATTGGGTAGATGAGGATGAGCTGTGAAGTCCCTCACTGCTGCCTGAATGAAATGCTGCGGCCCCTGCCAGGCACTTGGTTTTAAACTGTGGGTGCAGC